TAAATTTTTAAATGAACCCGAGAGACTCATACCCATATGGATTCATTTTTCGGAAAACAACACGAAGAAACATGGCGATTTTGATTTGTTTAGGGTAATAAAAGGTTGGTTTATTATGTAGTTAATACTTTTTTTAAGCTGTTCTGGGAAGTTTCATAACTAATCCCTTATACAGGACCAGTAGACCCGAAGCTTGCAAAAAAAAAGTACCTCAATAGTATCTAAAATTTATAAAAGGGGATTATAAACGATGATTTAAAGTTAAAACACATCAAACAAGGAAAAATGGTTTTTATATAGTTTTTTTCTGAGTTTGATAAATATGACGTGTATTGTTTTGATTGATAAATATAATGTGTATTGTTTTGATCAATCGTATTTTTCTGCAAGTAAACACCCCCGCAGTGTTTATTTTTCACGATATGCGCATGTGCGGATCCGATCAAATTGCTTCATTCCCGCACAGATGTGGGTACGTGAAAAATAAACACTGATAACGTGTATTGTTTTGATTAATATAATTGACAAAGTCGCGTATTTCGCGCATTTTTCTGCAAGTAAACACCCCCCTGAATAGTAATTTGTCAGAAAAACGTAATATTCGTTGTTAAAATTAATCCACCTCTCCAAGAACTTCACTTAGGAGCGAATATTTTTACTTATATTATATGTAAGTTTTAAATGTCAAACCGGTAAATAAAAAAGGAAGATTGAAATTACATGTAAGCTTTAACTTAGAATTTTGAGTATACGGTTAATATGTTATATATTATAATACGTAAAAATTTAAATTTAAACTAATTAAGTATATTTTTCAATTTTCTAATATTTCGTAAGCTAAATGTTTGTTTGCCCATACTATCTTTAGCGGTTCCAATAATTGCTTTCAATGGATCTTGAAGAATCTTTTTCAAAAGATTTAGAATAAGATTGGGACCATTTTTTACTTAAAACACAAAGTAGGTGTATTAATAAAATTTTGCTATATTGCTCTTTAGGGTTTGCATTTTCTTATGATTTATTATAAGATTTATAACATAAAAATTGATTTTCCAAAGATTTGTTTTGTCAATTTGGTCCCTTTTTGCAGCACCTAGCCCATATATTCTCATATAACAGATAATAGATTTTACGACGTCGATTAACAGATTTTTCGTCGAGAATTTAGCAAGCTTTCAATGCACTGCGAGAAAAAATGAATTTTTGCAACTCGATCATTGAGCAATTTATGAATAAGAATTTCAATCTCTGTTTCTTTTTTTTTAAATAAAATATTTTTATTGATTTAATTTTAAATTCATTTATTAAGTAGAATTTAAATTCTCTCCAACGAGTGAAATTTGATTTCAAAAACTGCATATGGGCGAATCGGCAGAATTGGACCTTAGCTAGAGACACCAAATTTTAATTTAAACCCCATATTTTCTCATATTTAATTGGGTAAATATACAAAAAAATTACTCAATAACACCCTAATAATTTAGAACTATGCCATAAATAATTATAAGGATATAATGATTATGCGTCAAACCCATCTGTCTCAGCCAAAAACCCATCTGTTTTCTATTGGTTAGAGCTCTACTCAGGCATATCATTTGACAGTATTGTATATCGCTAGCCCGAACTCATTTGTCTGAGGCATGTTGTTTGATCGATTTTATTCTTTAAAAAGGTAGTTTGCATAACCTCATTGTCAAACGATCTAACCCTCCTACAAAATTTTTGGGGTACTACGTCCACAGTTGCATGATTCCGCATATTCGCCCATATGTTATCATTTCGGTCGATGTATCTAATTATTATTAATTGATTGTTGTTATACATACGTATTATTTGCGGCCCAACAAAAGCCACAAAAAAAAAACCCATAATGTAGCTATTACAGTATTATGCAGTACAAACCACATGACCGGTTATTGGTGTCTCGATTTTTCTGGCCAAGTTAATTTAGATAGCACGTGGAATCATGGAATCGTTGAATTTTAATCACTTATCGTCTTCACCATAGTTCTCAGTGGTTAGTTATCCTCGGTGAACTATGGGTAATAACATATCAAGTACAGCTACTTCAATAGCGACTGCCGGCATTGATAGCTACGTTAGTGAACTTGGGGATATAGAATATGAAAGAAGGTAATATAGTATGCCTTATTAATAATTTTCGTCACGCCTCACTGATCTTATTTTTTTACAGCTTAAGTAGTGCACGTTTCATGAAAACAATACGTGGGCGCCATAAAGAAGGGCTTGTCGTTATAAAAATTTTCATAAAGCCCGAGCCTGGTTTGTCTTTGGCGAACGTGGTTAAATCGCTTCAAGGTGAGATAAATTTACCTTGGAATTCTACGATTTACATATATATACGTATACTTAGATCGATCTGTTTTATTTGGATTAGACGAAAGAGATGCATTGTCTGAAGTCCCTAATGCATTCTCATATCAAAGAATAATTGAAACAGAGAAGGCTGGATATCTAATAAGGCAGTATTTTTTTAGTAGTCTTTACGATCGTATAAGGTTAGAATTTAATATTATAAACTGGCGAAATTCGATCGTAAATATTCATTATTATATTCAATCTTTAGCACACGTCCATTTTTGAATTGCATCGAAAAAAAATGGATAACATATCAAATTCTGTGCGGAGTACACGATGCTCATACTCGAGGGGTCTGTTTTTTTTGCGGCTGTCAAAATCATTGAGATGTTCGTTGTTTTAAAAATCAATTTTATTTATAGATTTATCATGGAGATATCAAGACAGAAAATATTCTTGTCACATCATGGAATTGGGTATATTTGGCTGATTTCGCAGGATATAAACCGACATACCTTCCAGAGGTTTGTTATAAATATTATTGATAAATTTTTTGAACGACTCTCATCATCATTTTTTTAATAATTTAAATTTATTTTAGGATAATCCTGCTGATTTTTCATTCTTCTTCGATACATCATCGCGAAGAACTTGTTATATTGCTCCAGAAAGGTTTTATAAACCTGGTAGTGAAATTGACAGAAGAAAGGTTTCATGTCTTATATGCACAGTTTTCAATTTAATAATTAACCAAGATAAAAAATTAATTTTAATACATTGTTTATTCATAGAGTGAACTTGAGTTTGGAGAAAAAGACGGTGCTATTACTCCTGCTATGGATATATTTTCTTTAGGGTGTGCTATGACATTATTTTATTTTTCTAATGCCTTTGCATTACAATTATAATGTGCTAATTTCCTCCTATAATTTGTCCCAAATGCACAATTGATATTCAGTTGCGTGATTGCAGAGCTTTTCTTAGAGGGTACACCAATATTTTCTCTAGCTCAATTATTCAAATATAGGACTGGAGAATATGATCCAGGTGTTTATCTAGAAAAAATTGAGGATGCAGACATAAGGGTGTGTGAAATTCTATGAAAACAAAAACACTTATGTATTTAGAAATGAGATTAATTGTGTAAAAATGTTGTTTTTAGGCTATGGTGAAACACATGATCCATGTAGACCCTTCACAACGATATACTGCAGAACAATACTTACAAGAATGGTATTTAATTTATTAATTTATTTTATCTGATTATGA